TGTGTTACCCGGATGAGCCAGGCCTGGTGGGGGGAGGGAAGGAAAAGGGGCAGGGACGTGGGGGGGGAATATACAGCCCTGAACCGAGGGCCTCCCATGCTCCTTGTAGAGGTTTCCGGTCGTCTCCCCCTGGGCTGACGTTGTCGCTCTGTATCCCCAGGATGTGCTCAGGCCAGTGTGCAGAGATCTGGAGATAGGTCACCCAACACCTACACCACCAGAGGTGAGAGGAATGGGGCGTGGGGTCTTTCCCCTCAAAGGGCCGCTGGCTCCCACCTGGCCCTACAGCGGGGGACTGGCTGGCTCAGGGAGGCAGGGAATGGGACACGGGGCTTTCTGCTTTTCAGGTCTCCTCCTAGAGCCAGGGGTAGAACCCAGGAGTCCTGGCTCCCGGTCCCCCCTGCTCTAACCACTGGACCCCACTCCCCTCCCAGAGCCATTGCTGTTTCTGCAGTAGATTCACCCCTCTCTCTTTCCTCACAGGAATGTGAAGAAGATCCGAGGGAACTTGCTGTGGTATCCTTTCCTCGTCCCCCTCTGCCTTGGGGACTTGTTACTTCACCAAGGGGCCCATCCAGCCCAGTATCCCACCCCGTCCCTGCCTCCTAGATCAAGACCCTGGGCCCATCCAGTCTGGTGTCCCTGTTCCCTTATAGCAGTCGGGAGCGGGTTTAATTTCCTTGTTGACCCTTGGCTGGCGTCTGTCTCCTGGCCTTGGACCCCCCCAGCCTGGTGGCTCCAACCTCTCCCTGATGTCTGTCCGTTCAGGCTTCTGTCGCTCTCCACGTTCAGCCTCCTTTACTCAGGCCTTGCCTCAGGTACCAGCATCTGGAGGAGGCAGAGGTGAGGGGGCCGGTGGAGACTGCTGGTTGAATGGGGTATGGGGCAGGTGTGGATAGGAGCGTGTGGGTGAGGGCTGTCAGTGGGATGGGATGGGACGAGTGTTGTGGGTGGGACTGGGTGATGCTGTGCGGTGTGGTGGGTGGGGGCGGTGGGTAGGGGATGGTAATCTGGATTTGGAGGGGCGGGGAAGGGGATCAGGGTGCTGTGGGGTGGGATAGAGGGGATCAGGGTAGTGGATGGAGTCGTGGGGCAAGGTGAGGATCAGGTGGTGCTATGGGGTGGGATAGGGTAGGGGACAGAGGGTGCCTTGTTGCCGAGCTGTTGGTCTTGGAAATGGGGGTGGGATCAGTGGGGCGGGGGATTGGGGTGCTGTGGCGTGGAAGAGGGGTCCTGCCATGGGGTGAGCAGGATGCCTGGGTCTATAGCGGTGAGTGGATGGGGGGCACACTCAAGGGCGAGGCTGTCCAGGAGAAGCCCCGCCCCCAGTCGGTGTCTCCCCCTCCTCACAGGGAAAGCCCAGCAGGTCGGAACCGGAGCAGGAGCGGCCCGCCTGCGTGGGGAGCTGCAGCAGTTGGACCTGCAGATGGAGACGGCCCAGCGCGAGATCATGGCTGACGGTAAGGGGGAAGCCCCAAGGATCTGTGGGGCCAGCATAGTGTGTGCCCCCAACGCTCTACCCCAGCCCATCACTGTGGGGGTGGGGGGCACAAAGTCCACCCCAGTCCTCCCATCTGTTCTCCCACAGCAGACAGTGGGACCGTCCCCCTGCAGCCCAGATCCATTTCCCCCACTTCTTCGTAGGGCGCAGGATTGTTCCCCTACCCTGCCCTCCTTGGGGGCACCATCTCCCCATGTGGGCTCTTCCCCAGCCGCAAGGTTCCCGTGGGCCATGGGGCTGCTGCTTTTTTCCCCCATGCTCCCTCCCCAGACAATTGCCTGTGGGATTCACACCCATCACCTCAGGATTCCTGGGTTCTGTCTCCTAGTCTGGGAGCAGGGGAGGGGGAGAGGCTGGGAGCCAGGACTCCTGGGTTCTATCCCTAGCTCTGGGAAGGGAGTGGGACCTAGGGGTTAGCGTCTGGGGCTCGGGGTGGGGTTTCCCTGACACTCTTTCTCCTCCCACCCCACAGAGTTCTGTAGATAAATCTCTGATAATTTTCATATGACTTTATATTGTGCCTCTTCATATAACCTTGTGGTGGGTCTACCCACGTGTGACCTCTGTTTTCATGGGACTTTGTATCAAAGCCTCATTTAGAAACTTTGCATTGCCCTTGGTATAATATTAATATTATTGAGTCTTATTCCCCCTGAAAAGATCCTGTGCAGTACTTTAAGTACAACATTTTGGTGGAGAATGCGAAAGGGGGAGCAAGCATAGAACCCACAGTTATTATAAAACTGGTGTGCACACCGCCAGCTTTAGCAAGCCTGGCACTATAGGAAAAAGAGCGTAAACTTTCAATTAATTAACCAAACTCTGAAGGATATAGGAGTTTAGGTTTAAATTGTGTTCATGACTGAGCTAAAGAGGAGAACTTAGTGTTTCTCACTCTGATCCGGGGAAGGATTTGTATAATTGGTGTATGAACCCTCGGTGGTAGCAGACCGAGCAATACAGAGGGAAGCTTAGCGTCTCTCCCTCTGGACCAGAGTGGGTTAAAAACATAAGATGCAGATCTTGTTCTGTTAAACCAAACTCTGAAGGATATAGGAGTTTGGGCAGTGTAGTGTGGTTTATGTTTGGTTTTTTTTTTTGTTTGTTTGTTTTTTTGTAAGTAATATTGTGGTAATTTCACAATTTTGAAAAAAATGTTTAAGGAATGGGACCAGGAAGGGTGGGGGCTAGTTGGAAAGCCCACCCTCCTTGCTAAATTGGTAGTGAAACAAGGCTTGTGCCCATGGAAAGAAACTGTTTATTGAAAAAAGCAGGATCGGGCCCCGGCAAGCAATAGATAAAGAAACTGAAAAACAGGTTGGGTACAGAGAGTTAAAACAGCACTCTCAAATCTTACAGCAGCAGTAACACATCAGGAGAAGAAACATTTGAGACCCCAGAAGGGGGCAGACCTTTGGGACCCCTCTGGAGATTGGGAAGGGGAATATTTGGGTAAATTCCTCCTCCCAGGGCCAAAATGCCATTGAAACAGTTAACAACAGTGCCTGCTTCTGCCTCAGATCTCCAGGCCATGGCAAAATGGCTGGAGATTTTAAAACAAAATTTTTTTTCTAAATAAAGTTTTAACGTCCTTTTACTGAGAGAAAGGGAAAATTTACACTCACAAGAAATGCACCACTTAATTAGCATTTGTGCAGCCCCAAGTACCAAACACACTGAGGCAGAGAGTAAGCAGGATCTGCCAAGGTGGAAGCACTGTGCTAATTTGTTTCCAAGCTTCTGACATTCTCGCTTTTACATAGCTGGTTATATGCTGGTTAGCCCTGTCACTGTGTATTTACTCTCT